TTCCTAACGACAGTGACTCTGATGGTGAAGATAATGGCGGTTCCTCCAATGAAACTCTGAAATTGGAAGTTGGGATGGCTTTTCTCACCTGGAAGATTGCATTTAACCACATCAAGCAATGGGCTCACCAACAGGGCTTTGGCATACGCAAAGGAAGATCAGAAAAAATAGAATCTAAATTAAGAAAACAAACAATTGTATGTTTTTGTGAAGGAGTTTATAATAATCAATCAAAAAAAACTAACAAACCATCAAAAACACATCGCACAAACTGCAAATGGCATGTTAATCTTTCTCGGCCAACAAAAAATAACCAAAACTCTATGATTTTCATTACTACAATTGTTGATGAACATTCTGGACACAGTTTGGATCCTTGTGCACGTCGATTTGAAGCAGATAAAGCTTTTACAAAACCAATGTTAGATGATATTGAATGGATGTATGTGCATGGTCATTTAAAGCCATTAGCAATTAAACGAATGTTGAAGGCTAAATATAAACGTAAAGTTTATAACAAGGATCTTTATAAAATAATTTACAAGTACCATCGCAATATTGATCAATTAGGCAATGATGTTTCACAACTTTTTGAGTATCTTGAAAAATGTAAGGAAGATGATCCACGTTGGATAATTTATAAAGATTGGGACCGTGAAACCAACACACTGACGAAACTTTTTTGGATGAATCCTGATCAATTAGAAACTTGGTATCGCTATAATGATGTAATTCTTAATGATAATACTTCAAAAACAAATCGTTATGAAATGTCTCTTTCTTTTTTTGTAGCAATAGACAATAGTATGAAATCTCGAATTGTAGCACAAGCATTGATGGATCGTGAAAAAAAGGATGCGTACGCTTGGGTTTTGCAATGTACAATTGATGCAACAGGAATTATTCCAAAAGTATTCATAACAGATGCTGATCCTGGTATGGATCTAGCTATTCGGTTAAAATATTCATCCACATTTCCTATTCATTGTATCTGGCATATTGGACAGAATTTACCTTTACGTCTTAAGTCAAAGCTTGGTGGTTTATTTGACCAATTTAAAAAAGATTTTTATGAATGTAGGAATAGTTTGAAACAAGAAATATTTGAACATCGTTGGGCAAATTTACTTATTAACTATCCAAATGCTGCTAATTATCTTGAAAAGTTTCTTTATCCTTCTAAATGTTCTTAGGCTCGAGCATTTAGTGTCAAGATTTTTACAATAGATATTAAAACAACATCACGTTGTGAATCTGTTAATGCCACATTTAAAAATCTCTTACAAAATTCAAATAATACACTTGTAGATATATTTTTTACTATTGAAGAGCGGTTAGAAGAAGAGAAAGATAATACTGATTATTTAAATTGGCAGAACTCTCTTACAACAATTCAATCCAGTACAATAGCTTCTAATGCTTTTACTGATGTAATTAACGAACTCAAGGATTTTACAACTCCTTCAATTCAAAAAATTCATAATAATGAAATGGAATTGGCATTTAGTTATGACACTAGACCTTTGGATCAATCTTATATTAATAATGAAGATTCTCATGTATGATGTTAATTATTAAGTTCATTTATTTTTCAGATTGATATGTAACAAATTTTAACTCTTTTTTAGGATTTATTATTTGCTAATGATTTTATTGAAAAACAAGAAGTACGGCAACTTTCCTTTCAGCAACTTTTACTATCATGTGACCAGAAAGAAATTAAAAGTCTTTGGGGCGTTAGCTATTTAACCTCTTCCGATACACACCATTTAGTCATTTTATTAGATAATGGGATGTATAAATGTTCGTGTATGTCTCTGATTAATCGTGGTACTGTTTGTAGGCATTATTTCTGTGTAATGTTACGAACATCTCAAGCTCAATTCCATATTGGATTCCTTAATCCGCGGTGGTTTGTTGAAACTTCTCCAGATCTTAGGAGTCGTCCATTCTGTCCTGCTTCGAAGTTTAAAATGGATTTGGTTATTCCATATTTAGAATCTAATAATCCTCCTAATTTTCTTCATTCAATAAATGAAAATATTTTGAATAGAAATAATCCGTATGTCACTCTTAGTAAGCAAAAGTTATATTATATGAATATTAAAGGTTTGTCTAAACAAACAAGTTGTGTTGCTTGCAAAACTTGTGATGAATCTTTTGTTACATTACTTGAGGATTATATTACCAAGAAAAATCATGAAGCATTGGAGTTGGCGCAACTTGGATCATTAAACAATCGATCTCAAGATTTGATTAATTTAGAACCTGATCAGGAAAATGCTGAACAACTTGGAAATCCTATAATTAGGCGGCCTAAGGGAAGACCTCCGGGAGTTGCAAGGTACAAAAATCCTTTAGAGGAATCATCTAAACCTAAAGAAGGTACCTGTAAAAGAAAAAATCAACAAAATAAATGTAGTTTGTGTAATAATGTTGGACATAATCGTACAACTTGTCCTTCAAATCCAAATGGAAAGAAAAGGAAAACATCATTGTAATTTAATGGCTCCCTTCGGTCGCCTGTTTGCATTTTAATAGTATTTTAATAGTATGAGCTTATCTTTGATACTTTTTCGGCATATAATTTAATTAATAGAAAAAATAATTTTTTTATGTAATAGAAGGGATGCGTACAGAAATACATATGCATTGTTTTATTTTTAGAAAATTTATTTAAATTTTTTTACCAGTGCGTAAAATATTCAAAAATCGAAAATTTTATATATAATATATGCACCCTACAATTTATGCAGGTGCGTAGAAAATAAAAACCTTATTTATTAACTCCATGTGATAAATTATAAACATCTGATATATCCATTTTTTTTGAATATTGGACGAATTTTACTATAGGAAAAATTTCATACAGCTATATTCTATAAAATTTGTAATAACACAATCTACAAAAAGTCATATTGAAAGGCTATAATAATTCATGGAGATTTGTTTCTCTATTCAATCTAATAATGGGCTAATCAGAAGAATTTTGGTATCCATTAGACCAGCTCAGAACTATAGAGCTATAAATAATTAATTGTTTTTAGTTAAAACCAAATGTGAAAAAAATTCTTTGTTTCTTATTATCAAATTTATTTAAATATAATGAACTTATTAATAATAGACTACCACATAACATTACATAATTAAAAATATTTAATTCAATTTTTCTAAAAGTTCTGCTAATTTTGCATGAGCATATCCATGTCCTTGTTCAGCAGATTTTTTATACCAATAAATTGCTTGGTTTATATCTTTTTCAGTATCACTTCCATATTCATACATCAGAGCAAGATTATATTGAGAAAAATCATTTCCCGAATTTGCCGCTTTTTGATATAATTCAAATGCTTTATGGTTATCAACGTCAGTTCCAACTCCATTTTTATAACAACATCCCAGACTATTCATTCCATTTATATTCCCTAAATCTGCTGCTTTTTGATATAACTCAAATGCCATTTTTTCATTAATAATAGTTCCATAACCACATTCAAAACACCACCCTAAGTTATTTATTCCATGTGAATTTCCTAAATCAGCTGCTTTATGATATAACTCAAATGCTTTTTGCTTGTTGACTTCAGTTCCAATTCCAATATCATAACAATACCCTAACCTATTTATTGCATTCGGGTTGTTTTTTTCTGCTAGCTTTTTAGATAATTCAAAAGCTTTATTTTGGTTATTTTCAATCCATTTTTCATGAATACACATATTAGCAAGATCTAATTGTGCTGCAATATTTTCAAATCTGCTGCCTTTTGATATAGTTCATATGCTTTATGCTTACTTTTATTGGTTGCAATTCCATAATAATTAAAATATCCAAGCAAAAAAATGGAATTGAATGATATTGGTTATTTAAAAGCCAGTTATAGATTTCTTGTAAAATAATTTTATGATTATTAATATAAGTAATAATATGATTTTTCCTTTCTTTAGCTGAACACCCTTTATTTAATTCATTTAAAGTGAGATTATTCAATTCATCAACCACGATGCTTAAATCTTCTTCATATATACTTTCATTAATATTTTGTATCGTAGGTTTTATTTCCTTTATTTCTATTTTATTAAAATTTTGAATAATTTGAGTTAATAGTCCAAATGATGAATTATATTTGTTTGATACATTCTCATTATTTGAATTATTGGAAACATTTATTTCAGTCATTGTGAATACAATTTTACTGTTAGGTAAAGCGAAAAAAAATTTCATGCATCAGCTTGCTTTGTATTTATATTGCTTATATTGTATACAGTAGTACTGTACTGTAGCACTATAATTAATTAGTTTAGTTACTGTGGATCAGCCTTTTGTTACATTTTTGTTATTTTGTGGCACCATAATCTATTAACGGCCATTTTTAATGATATAAATAATATTCCATTTGTCATTTAAACCAGCGTTCGGAAATGACTGGTCATTTGACCATTTAAAAATCATTTGTTATTATTCATAATAATTTGTCATTTAGTGATTGGCTAATATTTATCACAAAATAATCATGTGACTATAATTAAAAAAAATAATGAATGTAGTGTAGGCAAAAATTATAATGTTGGCCAAAATTACATTCAAATGACCAAGATCATTTGTCATTTGAACATTGAAATGACGTGTTATTTGTCATCTGTCATTTGAATCATTTGGTCATTTCAAGTCATTTGCCGAACACTGGTTTGAATCGTTTAATGTTTAACATTGAATTGTTAAAAAAAAAATCTTTATTTATTACCTAAGTACTTAAAATACATTTAAATATTTAAATATAAAGAATTTATTAATACCATATTACAAGATTAATAAAAGATCATTTAATTTTTTTTGTGCATAACTATGCCCTTGTTCAAGAGATTTCTTATACCAATAAATTGCTTTAGTTATATCTTTTTTAGTCTCAATTCCTTTTTCATATAACGAAGCAAGGTTAAATTGAGCATAATGATTTTCCAAATTTGCTGCCTTTTGATATAATTCAAATGCTTTTTTAATATCAATATCAGTTCCAACTCCATTTTCATAACAATATCCTAGGCTATTCATTCCGTTCGCATTTCCTAAGTCCGCTGCTTTTTGGTATAACTCAAATGCTTTTTTAATATCAATATCAGTTCCAACTCCATTTTCATAGCACGTCCCCATATTATCTATTCCATTCGAATTTCCTAAATATGCTGCTTTTTGATATAATTCAAATGCTTTTTGCTTGTTGACTTCAATTCCAATTCCACGATCATAACAAAATCCTAATCTATTCATTGCATTCGGATTACCTTTTTCTGTCAACTTTTTAGATAATTCAAAAGCTTTAGTATAATTTTGTTCACCACCTACTCCATTTATATACATAATAGCAAGATCCAATTGAGCCACAATATTTTCTAACTTTGTTGCAATTTGATATAATTTAGACGCTTTTTGTTTATTATTATCGGTTACAATACCATGATAATTAAAATATCCAAATAAATAAATGGAATTTGAATGATATTGATTATTTAAAAGCCAATTATAAATTTCTTGTAAAATTATATTATGTTCATTAATATAATTAAGAATACGTTTTTTTCTTACAATACTTTCATTTCCTTTATTTAAATCATTAAAAGTAAGATTAATCAATTCATCTACTACAATGCTTAAATCTTCTTCATATATATTTTCATTTATATTTTGAATTGTAGGTTTTATTTCATTTATATCTACTTTATCAAAATTTTGAATAATTTTATTTGACTCTTCATGTAAAGAAATATAAGTGTTTGATATATTCATATTATTTGAATTTTATGACTTTTTATGAATAACAATAACAATATTTCACTGCGTCTTTATTTATTTTAGTATACCGTAGTACAGTAGTACAGTCATACAGGACGGGTAGTGCAACAATAATTGGATTTGCAGATCAAATTTTCTGTCTGCAGTTAATGAAGTTAATGAACCAATAAATTCATTTATCGTTCAGCCTAATGAGTTCATGCAGATTTACAATAGACTATAACTATATTTTATTAAGCATAACAATAATACAGGGTTACACATAATTGACGTATGTATCCCGTCACAGGGCCTTTCATTGGTAATCATGATACTTCTCATCAAATAATATATATATTTTTAAGAGGATATTTAATAGTTTGTATTTTTTACAATAATAACTTATTTATTGAACAACGGAGTAATATGGTGACCACTAGAGCTAGCCAAAGTTAAGCATATTACGAAGCTTAGAGTACGGTAGTTCAGTAAAGATATCTTACCCAGTATCACCGACACTTTTTTCACCCCACGTGATTTTGTAATATTCATCACCGGCATCACACCCCATCGCGTTTTCACTGTTTATATTTATCTGAGGGACTTAGCCTCGCAAAATTATTTTTTCACGTCCCTTTAAATGTCACCGGTCACGTGGGGTGGAATTTTAATTATAAAAGTGTCGGTGATACTGGGTAAATAGTAAAGACACTTACCGCAAGTACCGATGTGGTTGATTTTGTGCACTTGTAATTTTTTACACTCTGGTGGATGGTTATCTTCTGTCCGGCACCCTAGTAGTTTTGAGTTAGATATAGATAATTTTTCTTTTTCATGTAATTTTAATTTTAATTTTTTTAGTTCTTCTTTTGCATTTGATAGCCCGTTTTAGACTCCAGGTTATGCTTGATTGTTCTATAGAATAATGGGCAAGACGACCCCTTCAGGCTACTCCTGAGAGGTTGGGTAAAACACTAGCTTAGAATTTATTGATCTTTTAGACCATGTTTATTCCTATTTAGCGTTCGACCCCAGTCGAGTCTATATCTTAAAAATAAAATAAAAAAATAAAAAATAGTAAAGATGCGGCAGTCACATGATTGTTTGGCACAGAAATCAGATGATTATTGGCGCAGCAACGCACAGTGATCGACAAATTAGTACAAACACACAATTGTTTGCACGAAATGTTCAAGTGATGTAAATAAAATAATATTTATTAACTTGATTGGAAACAAACGTAGATAATGGAGGAAATGATAGATCAGTTTATAATGTTAATAGTTAAAGAAAAATGAATTATATTGATAAAATTCTTTAACATTAGGAACATTTATTTTTAGAAAAAAGGATCATTGCAAATTATAAGTCATAAATCAAAATATTTGTAAAATTTTATAAAAATGATGTAACTATATTAAAGAATTATAAGTGCCTTAGTTTAAAATGATTTAGTTCAGCCTTGGCCATCATGAAAAATAAAATTATTGTTAAAAGAGCTTTGCTCAATTATTAAAGAGTAATTATTGTTAATTAAAAATTATAAAGTTTAATAATGGAAAAATTCACTTATCGTCAATTGAAAATTGTAATGGGATAATAAAGTGGTTGTTTAATGAAAAAGTCCTTAGTAAACTGTGATAAACCAAGTACGATTAATGTCGTATTTGAAATGTACTGAGAGAGGGCAACTGGTCACTGGTTCATCAGGCTCTCAGTTACAATGGTATCAAT